AAAAAAAAAAAAACGGGGGGAATGTGGTAGTAAAAGAACATTAAAGGCTTATAACTTTCGGTACTCTTGCAATTTTAACTTTAATCACTGATCGTGCCATGAAGAATCAGTGCTCTTGTTTGGCAATGGAATATGTGTTAGATCGAATACAATACATAGGGAGAAGTTTTTCATGTCTTGTATTTAATAAAAAACTTTCCTGAAACTTCCTGAATTTTTTTAAAGTTTAAATGTAAAGTTTCAAGTGTGCGTGGTGGTGGTGGTGATGTTGTTTTTTGTTTTTAACTTCCTTGCAGCTTAGCATTACTTGAAGAAAATTATTTTATGTATAAATTATTTTTAATTAACCGAACAGCTGTAATTTGAATCCTTATCCCCTCCATGTTTTTTGTAGTGTGCAGCACGCCATTCAAGATGGTGCCTTATAACGTCACGTACATTCTATACAGCTGAATATGATCCCAATGAAAAGGTAAGTTTATAAAATCGCTTGACTATACTGTACCATAAACATTATTTGAAAGCCAAAAGTTAATCATTTCTCCAGTGCTTATGCTAACACTAGTAGTCTTAGTGAGACTGCCTGTCACTAGCAAAACTCCTTAAATGTTGGATTTAAAAAAAAAAAAACTTGCTCTTCAGGCAAATAAATTATCCTTATTCTTGGGAGTGTATTTGCCCATGCCCTGGACATAATGTACATTTCTTTCTATTTTAACATTTAAAATAGTTATTTACACTACACGTAGTCATCATTTTTGAAGAGGTGGAGTCCCCATTTCTTGAGACTCTTTAAAGCTAGATTGGACAAAACACTGCAAATTACTATAGACAGCAACTCTGCATTAGCAGCAGGACATTTAATAAATGTCCTGAACATGTCTTCCAAATCTAATGTTTACAAACAGTTCACATGCTAGGAAGGTATAAAGATGAGACTTTATAGGGCTAGCAGAGAAGAGTTTGAGGAGGTTGCCAGCTTTTTTTTTCTGGCCCACCAATTGACTCATGAAGTAGCAATCTAGGTCTGCAGCTACTAGCCAAGCAAAACTTTTTCTAATGGGAGGTACATTCACTTGGCTTCCCTCTAAGTAAATCTGCTTGGATGATTGCAAATACTGTGGCTGCATGTGCTCTGGTATTGAGGGGAAAGTATGGCAGCTGTGTTTCACTCTGGGGAATACAAGCCATAGATTTACATGACTGCATAGAAGCAACTGACAAGGGATGACCGCTATATTAGAAAATGAAGGGCAGGGGGAACGGGAGTTGTAGAACAGTTTCTTAAAAATAACTTCATTCTTGGAGAATTTGATCATGAATTTACACTTGCAACATTTCCTACAAGTCTCGACGTCACTTATTCAAGACTGCTCCTCCCTCTCCCACTATGGTTAATTTCCTCTCTGTCATAAGGATAGCTCTGTATTGGCAGTGAAACAGGGTGCTTAGCTTCCCTCAATCTGTTAATTGGAAGTCCTGTGGGTACGTGCAGGGGGTAGTGGGTGTCAATGGAGCTCAAACTCAGTTATCTGAACATTATTTAAAAAAACTGAATCTGACTGAATTTCAAGATCTTCTACTAATTAGAGGGAAATGATCTACTCAGGAAAGACATCACACATTGTTTTTTGAGCAACATGTTGTTTCTTTCTGGATGTAAAATGTGTCCTCTGTAATAGCAGGAACAAGAGTTCAGTGGCTCCTCCTGTTAGTGTGTCTATTGCAGAATTGACTTGCTTTATTTCACATAACTATACTGGTTTAGCTCCCTTTGTGGCCACTCTTATTTTGGAATAAGTGGCTCTTCTTTTTTTTTTTTTTTTTTTTTTTTTTTTTTTTTTTAATTTGGACTAAACACTTCCCAAAGCGATGTAAGAAACTGAGGCCGGGAGGGGGAGGCACTGCTATATTGAAACAAGTGTTTCCACACCAGGAGACCTAATAGTATAATTACAGTGTCTTAAATTCATACCTTGGCTTACAGTGCTGTAACGTTACTGTGTCGACAGGCCCATATTCTAGTATAACTGTGTCTGCACTGGGAGGGTACTCCCTCTTAATTATGCCAGCGTAGTTAAAGTGACAAAACTCCTAAATGTGGACAGAGGCAAAGAGTTCAAGCCTGATCAAACAGCAAATTCCAATTCAGAGTTGGCAAAATTACATGGAAGAAGACCAGTTTGATCACTGTTGATCTGAATTGATTATTCTAACTGAAAGGAAGACCATCAAGATTAGACTGTGGTATGAACGTAAGGTTTTTTTTTTTTTTAAACTTGGTAGTGTTTGGTTTTTTAGTTATATTTGTCTTTAAAAAGAAAAATGTTGATTCGTCAATATCTATCTTCCTCCTTCAGACATTTGAGAAACTCCTTATTGCCAACAGAGGAGAGATTGCATGCAGGGTAAGTTATAACTTTAAAGCATTTATCATTCTTGAACTTTTTTGCTATAAGATTACTTAAATACTGAAAACTCTCTCTTTTTAAATAAATAGGTGATTAAAACATGCAAGAAGATGGGCATTAAAACTGTTGCTATACATAGTGATGTTGATTCCAGTGCTGTAAGTATTCTCTTTTTTTTTTTTTTTTTTTTTTTAAAAGCTTCTTGCTGAACAGCAAAGGAATTAAAGTGTTGCACCACCTGGCAATGTGACACCTAACCTTTAGGCACCTAGGAAATCTCTGGAATCCACAAAGCCTGAATTAGGTGCTTAGGCTCCATATGCAATGCATGGGGAGCAGGTAGTGTAAACCTGGCCTAATACAGCAAAAGTAAAGTATCCTACACTAGTTTAGATAATAACTTTATTACAGAGGAAGAGGTGGCAAGTGGATAGCTTTTTTCTTTTTTTTTTTTATTTGACTCTGACCAACTGGAAATAGTAGGTAACTAGTAACAGTGTTTGTAAAAGGAGTTTATACAAATGGGGAAGGGAGAATGAAGCAGTATAAGAATGATGGAAGCGAAAGTTGGGTTTCCAAGAGGTAGGTAGGCTAACGGGAAAGTCTTCTGTGGGGTGAAATTATGGGGAAAAAGTTGGTGTTCCTTTATTTAAAAAAAATTGTCAAGGACTGTTGAAAATCATTCCAGGGGACTGAATGTCTGAGTGCCGATAATGGCGTAAATCTATCTTTGGTACTTATAGCCCCATTGCCATCGTATCGGAGCACCTCACAGTCTCTACTATAGTTCTCCTCTCAACATCTCTTGTGAGGTAGGGTGTACTCTTCCCCATTTTTGTAGATGGGGGAACTGAGGCACAGAATTTAAGGGCTTATCTACACAGTGCCACAACCAGATTAGAGGTGTGAATTGTAGAGCTCTCTGACTGCCCGTGTAATACCCTACTGGCATAAACTTAAAGGTACCTACTTCATGTTAACATAGTCTTGTTTGTTCACACTGATGTAGTCCCTATTTCAAAGTATCTTTAAGTTTACGGCAGCAGGGTCTGCATGGAGCATTTAGAGTGCATCACTTCAGGGCACTCTGCAATTCATACCCTTGTAGTCCGGCTCAGCCACTAACGACTTGCCTGAGGTCACACATGAAGACTGTAGGAGAGCAGGGGGTTGACCCTGGGTTTCAAAACCCAGGTTAGAGTCTAAACCCCTGGATGGTCCTACTGGACCTTTTGTCCCTGAGAAGAATAGAGTTCCTTCATAACCTCTGGCTGAAATTCAGTCCAGGCCAGTGGTAATTGGAAGATATTGCTGTTCAGTGTACTGTGAAATGAGTTTTTGGTCTCTTGTTTAGTTCCTAGTGGGCAGGTGTCAGTGTCAGTTATCAGTAAATGGTGCTTTTGCCGGTTTAGTTGGAAGCCAAGGATTAAGTGGGTGCAGTTAATAGCCTACTGTTTCACTAGGGTATGCCTACACCGCAGCAGGGAGCATACCTGCTAAGTATAGAGGAGTATGGGAAAATGAGTTAGTTAGCATGAAGATAAGTTTGAGATGGTAAGATGGGAAAATTGAAGCTAGTAAGGCCATAACCCAGGGTTATGTTGTAGCTATATTTTGATTATAACTGGGTTTAGCACAGTTTTTAGTGAGTGTTTTTGAGAATTGTTTTTTTTTTTTTTTTTATAAATTATTAAAATGCTGTCTGTATTGATAACATGGGAAGGGTATTGGTGCAGAAGTTAGTTTAAACTATGTATAATGTAAAAAGCCAATAAAGAGGTGGCAGAAATGTGAACATGGTAATGTATAGGTTTAATGTTAATTAGCATTATAAGAGGAGTAGTTTTGCTAAATTGTGGAAAACTCTAGTTAATACCCAAAAGTATATAATTAAGGGCAAGTTTACACTACAGCTCTGCTGGCCTAGTGCGGATGTGGATAGCGTGAAACTTGCATCACTTAGGGTGGGGGCTTTTTCACATCCCTGAGCAACGTAAGTTAGATCAACTTAAGCAGCAATAAGAACCAGGAGTTCTTGTGGCACCTTAGAGACTAACAAATTTGAGCATAAGCTTTCGTGGGCTAAAACCACTTCATCGGATGCATGCAGTGGGAAATACAGTAGGAAGATATATATATATATATATATATATATATATACACAGAGAACATGAAAAAAATGAGTGTCATACACACTATAACAATACTAATCAATTAAGGTGGGCTATTAGCAGCAGGAGGAAAATTTTTTTGTAGTGATAATCATTTCCAACAGTTGACAAGAAGGTGTGAGTAACAGTAGGGGAAAAATTAGTATGGGGAAATTGTTTTTACTTTGTGTAATGGCCCATCCACTTCCAGTCTTTATTCAAGCCTAATTTAATGGTGTCCAGTTTGCAAATTAATTCCAATTCTGCAGTTTCTTGTTGGAGTCTGTTTGTGAAGTTGTTTTTGGTTGGAGAATTGCGATTTTTAGATCTGTCATTGAGTGACCAGGGAGGTTGAAGTGTTCTCTGACTGGTTTTTGAATGTTGTAATTCTTGATGTCTGATTTGTGTCCATTTATTCTTTTGCGTAGAGACAGTCCGGTTTGGCCAATGCCCGAGTGGCATTGCTGGCACATGATGGCATATATCACATTGGTAGATGTGCAGGTGAACAAGCCTCTGATAGTGTGGCTGATGTGATTAGGTCCTATGATGGTGTCCCTTGAATAGATATGTGGACAGAGTTGGCAATGGGCTTTGTTGCAAGGATAGGTTTCTGGGTTAGTGTTTTTGGTGTGTGGTTGCTGGTGAGTATTTGCTTCAGGTTGGGGGGGCTGTCTGTAAGCAAGGACTGGCCTGTCTCCCAATATCTGTGAGAGTAAAGGATCGTCCTTCAGGATAGGTTGATGCGCTGAAGAGGTTTTAGTTGAGGGCTGAAGGTGACGGCTAGCGATGTTCTGTTACTTTCTTTGTTGGGCCTGTCCTGGAGTAAGTGACTTCTGGGTATTCTTCTGGCTCTGTCAATCTGTTTCTTCACTTCAGCAGGTGGGTATTGTTGTTTTAAGAATGCTTGATAGAGATCTTGTAGGTGTTTGTCTCTGTCTGAGGGATTGGCAGAAATGTGGTTGTATCTTAGAGCTTGGCTATAGACATTGGATCGTGTGGTGTGGTCTGGATTAAAGCTGGAAGCATGTAAACAAGTATAGCAGTCAGTAGGTTTCTGGTATAGGGTGGTGTTTATGTGACCATTGCTTATTAGCACTGTAGTGTCCAGGAAGTGGATCTCTTGTGTGGACTGGTCCAGGCTGAGGTTGATGGTGGGATGGAAATTGTTGAAATCCATGGTGGAATTCCTCAAGGGCTTCTTTTCCATTGGTCCAGATGATGAAGATGTCATCAATGTAGCGCAAGTAGAGTAGGCGCATTAGGGGACGAGAGCTGAGGAAGCATTGTTCTAAGTCAGCCATAAAAATGTTGGCATACTGTGGGGCCATGTGGCTACCCATAGCAGTGCCATTGACTTGAAGGTATACATTGTCCTCACCCACAACTATTTCACATTTGGGGACAAAGTCACAAAGTTTAGCCACCAGGTTTGCCGTGACATTATCAGGGATACTGTTCCTGACTGCTTTTAGTCCATCTTTGTGTGGAATGTTGGTGTAGATGGCTTCTATATTCTATATCTATAGTGGCCAGGATAGTGTTTTCTGGAAGATCACCAATGGATTGTAGTTTCCTCAGGAAGTCAGTGGTGTCTCGAAGATAGCTGGGAGTGCTGGTAGCGTAGGGCCTGAGGAGAGAGTCTACATAACCAGACAATCCTGCTGTCAGGGTGCCAATGCCTGAGATGATGGTGCATCCAGGGTTTCCAGGTTTGTGGATGTTGGGTAGCAGATAGAATTCCCCTGCTCAGGGTTCTAGGGGTGTGTCTGTGCAGATTTGTTCCTGTGCTTTTTCAGGGAGTTTCTTGAGCAAATGGTGTAGTTTCTTTTGGTAACCCCCAGTGGGATCAGAGGGTAATGGCCTGTAGAATGTGGTGTTAGAGAGCTGCCTAGTAGCCTCTCGTTCATATTCTGACCTAGTCATAATGATGACAGCATCTCCTTTGTCAGCCTTTTTGATTATGATGCCAGAGTTGTTCCTGAGGCTGTGGATGGTGGTGTGTTCTGCACGGCTGAGGTTATGGGGCAAGTGATACTGCTGTGGAAAAGCAGCATAGACCTGCCCTCAGTTACAGGATTATAAGGCTATACTTCATTCTGTTGTCAGTGGACTGATCACCCATTGATACACCATTCTATCTTTGAATGTGAGTATAATTGTAGTACCTGGTAATTGTCTGCCTGTCTGTTTACCTAATCATTTTTCTTTAGAATAAAGTTTGGCTCTATCAATCAGAGTATCATCCAGGGTTCTCTACTATATTAAATTAACTGACTGTAATGGTCTCCACTTAGGGTCTGGTTGGAAAGCCCACGGCCACAACCCTGGACTGCCAAGGGGGTTGTGGGGCGGGAAGCCTGAGCCCTCCCACTCTACTGGGCTCTGACCCAGGGCCCTTTTAGCTACCACTAACCTGGCAACCAAGTCTACTTAAGGCTGTCCTCCCTAGGCCTCTTCCAGTTGTCCTCCCTTAGGGTCACCTCAGTCCAAGGCCTTCGCCTGATGGGAAAATCCAAATCTCAATGAAGCAAGAGGGAGTTGCCACTGTCCAGGGCCACAGAATACTTCCCTCTCTGCTTGTCTCTGTGGAGGGTCCTCCCTTTCCTCATGGAGGGCCCCTTTGGGCAGCTGCGTCAGAGCCTTTAGGTTTCGCTTTGCTCTGCTGGAGTTGTGGGCTGCAGATCTGCTCACCTTCAGCATGGCTTGCCAACTGAGATAATTTGCTACCTTTTAATTCCTCCAGTAGATGGAGCATTTGTTGCAGGTGTCGAGGGGCGGGGCTGGCTGAGCCCAAAATGAGCACTTTAGCCCTTGTTGCTCAATGTGGGGTTTGTACACCCCAACACACAGAACTAGAGGCTTGAACCGAAAAACTGATTGGGAAAGCTAAGGCACAATAAACCTATTTAATATTAATTGGGAACATATAAAATTCCAGCAAAGTTCTGAACCACACTAATAGGGGAGAATGGGGAAAGAAGGAAAGAGAGGCAGAAGTAAGAATG